TTAGCAGGCTATCTGCCTGGGAGTTGAAGCTGTGATCTGCTTAGTTGCGAAGCTCAAGGGGACAGAAGAAACTGAAGTAGAAAGCTACAGAGCAAGTCTGTAGACACAGCAGATTCTGCATTTTCAAACCACTTAAACTTGCACAAAGTCTTCATCTTCAATGAAATCATGGTCTACAGACAAGGAGAGCTTTGCTGAAGAACACTTAAATTGTGAATTAACTTGACACAAGGAAAATTAATCACAAAGCCTGACCTAAATTTGGGAAACTAATCAAAACATTTACTACTCTTATCAGAAAAAAAATTGCTCATTAGGAGCCTGTCAAAGCCTGTTTGCTTCTGACATATGTTGCTTTAAGTACCCTTAAAGCCCCTTGCCCTCTGAAGTCAAGTGAACACAGTAAGAATTACAAGTCACAAATAACGATTGCGCCAGTTTATTTCTTCACCACTAAATTCCCACAGATATCCGCAATGGCAGCATATCCTCCCTGGGGAGGCTGATTGCAGAAACTGGTGGTGTTCTTTTGTACTCTAAATCAGAGTGAATGCAAACAGGATAAATAATGTCTGCCATTTTACAAATGCAGACTATAAATTGAAACAGAAGTGAAGGGCTAACTATTTCTGAAAAGTAACTCTCTGGCAGATGGGAATCTGGTGTCATTTCCAGTGGAATTGGCTTATAAAGCAGAATGGACAGAGTACTAGAATGTCTTCAAATCTTCAAATATTCTCCCTCGGTAATTGCCACAGGCAAAGTAAGCTTGGTGCCGTGTAGCTGAGTAAACAGTGTGACATTCACCTCACACCTGGCTTAAGAAAAGCTGTATTATTGCTGAGCAGGTTTTCCAGAAGCAGTTCTTATGGATAGTACAAAGTAGCCCAAACATGTTGCTAGCTGACAGAAAGACGAGGACACAAACCCAGGAAACCTTCCCAAGGGCAGCCTGGTGACTCCTGAGAGAAAGGAAGTCAGGATCCCAAACTTAGCTTGGGTAATAGTTCAGGCTGAGCTGGTTAAAATATCAGGAGAGCAAATCCTCTGGTATAAAGGAAGGATGAAAATGGCTCAGTGTGTTTGATATTGCTGTGAGGTTGTTGATGGCTTCATTGACAGTATTGTTCAGTGTAATTTCGTGACTGGTAATATCGTTCTGTGCCCAGCTTTCTCAAAGAACCTCTGGTATGTGCTGCCTCTGTGGTAACGATTAACCCCCACCTGCATCTGTTCCTCACTAGACTGTGGCCGTCGCCCAGCTGCTCGCATGAACAAGAGGATCCTTGGTGGCAGGACCAGTCGCCCAGGCCGATGGCCGTGGCAGTGCTCCCTGCAGAGTGAGCCAAGCGGACACATATGCGGCTGTGTTTTGATTGCGAAGAGATGGGTCTTGACGGTAGCACACTGCTTTGAAGGGTGAGAGGGCTCAGACAGTTTTACTGTTCATATAAACTGGCACATGTTAATTACCAAGTTCTCCCTCCTCTGCCAACCGCCCTGGGGGTAGGTGATGACCTTTGCAGAATGGTCAATCACAGAGGCCTGGTTTTAAGAGACTAAAAAAGAAAAAAAAAAAGCATCAGCTTAGGTTTTCATATGCTTTAGTGTTCATTGCTGGCGTCTCTACTGATGAAAGCTAAATGAAGATGCCCTGACTTTCAGCAGGAAAGAGGAAAAGGAAGACGACCAAAACACTAATCCTATAGCTCTCATACAACTGCCATGGATTAAAAAAAGTCATTCTGGGCACCAGTATAGAAATGACCCTGGAAAAATGCTGCGGCCATTAGTAAAAATAAAAACTGAGTTTACTCACAGCACAACTGATCTGTTGAAGTCACTGCCTTTTCTAATTCTAAACACTCCGTTCCTTTACTTAGGATTGCAATCATTAAAAAGTCAGTAGTAACCCCTGCTCGGTGCCTCTGAGTATCTGAGGCCCTGTGGTGGATGGACAGGCTGGAGCGCAGAGGAAGTTTACGTGTCTTAGGAATTGTCTTGGTCATTGTCAGCTTTTTGGTGCTAACCAACATTTCTTTTCAATGAACCTCCCTTTTGGAGGGAAGTTCATTACCTCATTTCTTTTGTCTTGTACCAAAGTTTTTTAATTTGGCTTCTAAAGATAATTGAAACGTGTTTTCTGCTGTAGTTAGGAAGTACTTTTGTGTCATGCAGTTGTCATCAGTGCTTAATCCTGCTTTAAACTGGTACTTGCTCATTGGAAATTATTTTAGACTACACAAAACACCTTTCTTTCTGTTCAACCCAGCAGAAATTCTGTGGTAAGCAAGTATCTCTTTAGTGATATTTCTTTATTACATTAATAATTCTCTTTTTCAGTAATAATTTAAATTTTGTCTTTTTATTTCTGAAACACTGAGTTCTTTGGTATTTGTTGGGGTTTTTTTCACCCCCTTCCACTCTCCCCTCCAACCTCCCTGGCTCATGATGAAATTTGTGGTAAGGGCAAAGTTTGTGGCAGGGGCAAAGTTTGTGGCTTTTGTGTCCGATCCAGAAGAAATCAGGCAGGCAACAGACAAGGTGTGAGGCTACCAATGGAAATGCTAGAGGAAATGACGTTGGAGAGGCCTCAGTTCTGATTATTGCATCATATCGAGCCCTAAGGATGTTCAAGAACTGATTCCATTCAGAGAGAAGAAAAGCAGTAACCAGAAACTTAAAAGAGTAACCTCAATAATCTTCATTCTAAACAGTGCTAAACCTGAATAATACAAACAAGTATATTGTATTTGTCAGATTTTTGATCTGCACAAGGCATTTCTCTCCTTTCCCCATCTGTTTTTAAATAAAGCTAAGCAGTATCTGGAATATTTCTTTACATTTGGAAGACCTTTTTCTGGTGATCTAAAACAAAGGGTGGGATTTAGAGGAAGATCCTTCAAATCCTTCAGCAATAGTGGACTGCTACTGAGATAGGTAAGAGATTTCTCTCATTTGTGAAAGATGAGCAAAGAAGCTGTCAAATTTATTAAGTAAAAATTCTCCCATTTTTGTTAAACACAGAAAGACTGCCATGGCCACTACATTTTGGAGTTGTTCCTCTACCCCTCATTTAGGGCTCTATAATATCTCTGTGAGCTCAGAGTCGTATGTGTAAAAGGTCTCTTTCACTTAAAGTACTAAGGTATTTTTAGTTTAGTAATTCATCGAGGAGTTATATGAACTTTTTTCTCTTCTTCCCCTGAATGGATTTGAGGGTGTGTTCCCAGCCACCTGAAATCTTTAAATTCTTCATTTGTATAGCCTGATACTGCAACAGCAAGATCATTCTCGATGCCACAAAGCTTTCTTGATGTAAAGTATTTAAAAATTTACCGAGCCAACAATTAAAACAGACTTTAAAGTGCTCTGGTGCCTTAGACAAAATGCTCCTTTTTGTGAAGAATTTCATGAAGTTCATGTGAAGTTTGGGATAAAAAACATGAGGACCATATAGCAATAATGCAGCAGAAAGTATTAACGCAAATAGTAATGAATACTTATAGAGGGCATAAATTAAACGCTATGTCCTTTGCTAGTTTTATTCGTATAGTCCTCAGAGTTTTGTCAGGATTGTTTTGAAATGCATTACACCAAAGCATCCAAGACATTGAGTTTTTGTTTCTTGACTGTAGGACAATACACCAGTCACTGGCTGTGACTGCTCATTGCTCTGAGCAACACTTTCTTACAATGTTCAGAAACACAATGGCATGTGAATATCCTTAGCACTTAATCTTGTAACTTCGTGGAAAAACTCGCAAACTGATCATGATGGTAAAATGATCATCATAGTCTGAAATAGCAGAACCTTTATGCAACTCTTAAGATAAAAATAGCCTTTATTTAGCAACCAAACCTTTTTACAATTTACAGAAATTACAGTCGAGTACTGTGAAAAAGCTGAAATTTTGCAGGCTTTGATTTACATTGCTTTGATTAAGCTTTGATCGTGACAAAAGTGCTTAGTTACATGGAACTGTCTTTCACTGGTTGTGAAAAATGCTGGCTTTTTGGAGGGTTTTTAGAACCACCGACTAATTAGGAACCCATGATTTATCCTGTGACCAGTTGCGATCAAGAGATTACACCCTCAAAGCCTTTCATTAAGTCTATGTTTTTCTCATGTCTCTCAACAGACACTAGTTTGGTCTTCCCACTTGCATCATACGCATCGCTTTTTTGTGATCGTGTATATTTACCAAAAAGTCTTAAGCAACTGTAAGAGTCAAAATAACCTTTGATCTTAGGCAGAGGAAGTACGCTTGGCACAGGCTGAATGCCCAATAAATAAGGGACTTTTCCCATTGCTATCCTAAAAGATTTAATTTTCATAACAGAATTTCTTCTTTTGAGACTCCTTTGGGACTTCAGCTGGACTTACTGCTGCCGGCAGCATGCTGCTGAACAGTATCATCACCCCAGAGAAATTCGTACACGCTCGCCCGCCACTGAGCCTGGGAGCATCTAAGGCTTGGGCAGGATCCAAGGGATGATTTTGAGAGCCCTTGGCATTTACTGGTAACAGATGACAGGACGAGGGGGAATGGTTTGAAGCTGCACCAGGGCAGGTTTAGGCTAGACATTAGGAAAAACTTCTTCACTGAAAGGGTTGTCAGGCTCTGGAATGGGCTGCCCAGGGAGGTGGTAGAGTCCTCATCCCTGGAGGTATTTAAAAGAAGGATAGATGAGGTGCTTAGGGACATGGTTTAGTGGTGGGATGGCAGGGTTAGGTTAAAGGTTGGACTCGATGATCTCAAAGGTCTTTTCCAACCAAAGTGATTCTATGATTCTACTACCGCAGCTAATAGGTGGTTACGTATCTTCTGAAGGTGTGAGCTTTAATTCCATTGGTAACAGGCAGGAAGGAAACGGAAAGCACTGTCCTTTGTTGCTCAGCTCTTAGCTGTAAGTAGTGACACTTAAGAATTTGGTTTTCCTTGTAGCATTTGTATGCGCAATGCTTTGCAATGTGCAAAAGATCAGGGTGAAAAAAAGTCTTGGTATTTTAGCTTAAAAGAATGCAGTTGATTGAAATTTCCCATTTTTTTTCTTTTTTACAAAGGAGAGAAAATGCAGCTGTTTGGAAAGTTGTCTGTGGGATTAGCAATCTTGATCACCCATCAGGCTTCATGCAGACCCGACTAGTGAAGACCATTATCCTCCATCCACGCTACAACAGAGCAGTGGTAGACTACGACATCAGCATTGTGGAACTAGATGATGCTATCAATGAGACAAGCTATGTAAGGCCTGTCTGCTTGCCCAGTAAGGACCAGTTGGTTCGGCCAGATACCTACTGCTACATCACAGGCTGGGGACACATGGGCAACAAAAGTGAGTATTTCTGGGACTCTTGGAAAAACTTGTTAACCTTGTACCAAGTTAATCAAATAAGTGATCCCGTTACAAAGCTTTATCCGTTTATACTATTACTGGACCTTATTAATTATTGGGGAACTGTAACTCCTGACTAGACTGTGACTAGAGCCTGGCTTTGTCAAATCATCAGCCTGAATTTATGCTCCTTAACCCTTGTTTAGACAAGTGGCTTGATTTTCAAAAATGTTGAGGATCTAGAAAAGCCTATCAGGAAAGTGACCTGAATTGGTTGTCATTTTCCTGGGTTAAGTTGTATTCAGAACTGTATTGAGAGGGTATCAGACCATCAGTGAGAGGGCAACATCTTTAGTTTGGTGAAAGCGGAAGGCCCTGAAAGCACAGGCGTACAGGCTAAATGAGCATCTTGAATCTGTGCTCCATGTCCCACTTTGGACTTGGGACATGATTTATTCCATCCAGGCATAATGACAAATGTTGGTTTTGTCTCTCTGAACAGAACATAGTGTGTTTTCTTGTTCTGTGGCCCCTGCAGCCCTTGGGTTGCATGACAAGAATGGTTGCGTTATGTAAATCTTTGTTTAGACAAAATGATTCTGCATGCAAATTCACATGCAAATTATCCTGGTCCCAGCCCCGTTAACGCTCTAGCCATTGTGTTTCTCCCTTTGCTATTATAGCAATTACTAGGGAAGGCTGTTGTTCTGTACACTGGAGAAGGAAATTTTACTTTCAGAATCACTTCAGGTGGGACTTCACCTCTAGTGGCCAGGTCAGATATGTGGCAGAAATTAAATTGCACACGCGAGGGACAGGCTGTTTACTCGCAGCTATACCCACCTAAAAATATTTTATGTAATAGTAGGAAGAAATAAAAACCTTCACAGAATGTTTTGCACCACTGGTAAGTGGGGAAAAAAGGTTCTTTGTTCTCCAGTGTGGTTTCAGTATTGCTTTTAAAGGTTTTTATGTTACGAGGCAACAAAAACCATCATGGCTACACAGCATTTATTACTTCATGCCCTAGGTTGAACAACTTGCCTTAGAATTTGAGCTCAGTCAGCTGTTTAGACTAGGAAGAAGTTCTTTATTGTCTCCGGAATGTGCAAAAATAACTCCAATAATCTTTGAATTCTGATTCCCTGATACACTAAGTCAGATCTACCCAAACATAACTCAAAATGGCTGTGACTATACCAAGCTTTACCATGAGAGACACCGAGAAACAGGGAGATCCTGCCATGGAACAACGAGTCAAACCTCTCCTCCACCTCCCTCACATGACTCTTTTCCAGCCAATATTGCTGCCACCTCAAAAGTCCTGCACTGTATCATGGAAAGGTGCTCTCCCTCCTCGGCCTGTCAGTGCGATGCACGATGAACAGCAAGCGTCACACCAGTCCCCAGGCGCTTGGGCCCCCTCCAGAATGCAGCACTGGCTCAGGAGCGTGGCAGTCACGAATCCTGTGACGTAGCAGCGCAAAAAGCCCAACTGCTTTCGCCTTAGCTTTGTGCTAAAGGGGAATTCTTCTCTCCTTATGTTTTTTATATATATAAAAATATATATATTTATAATCTAGCCTAACGGAAATATTTATGGTATCTCAAAGAGCCATCGTAGCTAAGTATTTGTGTGTTTGTGTGTGTGTAGTTTAATGCTTCATTCTGGTTTTCAGTGCCTTTCAAGCTTCAAGAAGGAGAGGTTCGCATCATTTCCTTAGAACAATGCCAGTCGTACTTTGACATGAAAACCATCACCAGCAGGATGCTGTGCGCTGGCTACGAGTCTGGCACTGTGGACTCTTGCATGGTAGGCTTCTCTCCAAGGAGAAACTCACAGCCACGCTTGCTTTTAGAAATCCAAGTACTATGTATGTTGTTTATTAGGTATAGCATACTTCATCTACTGTAGGAGTGTCACAGAACCACAGAATGGCAAGGGTTGTCAGCAGTTATTTACATATTTTAACCCAACTTTTATTATTGGTGTAATCAACTTCAGTTTATGATAACGAAATGCTGCTTGAAGACTCTAAGGTTGATCTGTATTAGTTAATGCTTAGACTGTTGTGGGTTTTTTTAAATTAGTATGAGCCTTTTGCAAGTAGTTTTTGTACAAATATAACGGAATAAATACTGGTCACGCTGCATCCTGCTACTTAGGTCGGCAGAGCAGCCAGTTTTCACAGCTGAGTTCCTTATTAAAGGAAAATTGCCATAGGAACAGAGACATAGCTTTAACCACCTGACTGCTGCCCACATGTAGCCCTTAGAGTGGTTTTTTTTTCTTCCATGTTGCAGGGTGACAGCGGAGGACCGCTTGTGTGTGAGCAACCTGCAGGGCGCTGGACTTTGTTTGGTTTAACATCTTGGGGCTCTGTCTGCTTTTCCAAGGTTTTGGGACCTGGAGTTTACAGTAATGTGTCACATTTTATTGAGTGGATTGAAAGACAAATATACATCCACACCTTTCTGCTAAACTAATTCCAGATGGCAAGAACTGTGCTGACAGACAAGAAGAGGAAAAAAGGAATCAGCACTTCAACACTGAAGATTTTGCAGTCCGGAAACTCTATGAAAAGGAGTTTCAAGCTCTGTCTCTTCTTCTTGTGGAGCTACGGAATATGCAGTGTATGTTAACGGTAAACCTTCTGCTGGTGAATATACTTTGGGGTAGAATTAATAATCCTTTATGACTTCTTTTAACTGTGTTGTGGTGCTATTCCAAACACAGCAAAAGGCTTAAAAGAATCGGCCACTTTCTGCCTTTCAGCTATTCAAACTAAGCAGTAGCACAGAGTAGGAAAACCTTTTTAGATAACCTATTTTAATACAATTCAATTAGTAGCACATGCATTTTCACTCACTTGTTGTCATGAGGAATGAACTCGGTGCCTTCAGGCGGCACTGACAGGACACATATTCGCGAGGGCAACGCCAGGCACGGCTGCGCCATGCGCTGGAGGGGTGGGAGAGATCGACGAGGTTCTACATCCGTGTGGCACAGGGCACATCAAAGCACCCCTGCAGGTGCGCTGCTGGTGGGCCCGAGCTAGCGCGGTCTGTCCTGCAGGGTGGCTAACTTGCACGGGCATAACACCCTACCATCCCGGCTCCACGGCGCCTGTTCCCAGGGCCAGTGTGGGGCTCTCTGCGGGGTGATGGAGGGACCAGTAGGCCAGCAGACCCCTACCTACCCCGTGAGGCATCCGAGACCAAAACAGAGTTGTTCAGACTCTTTGGACGCTTTCTACCGAGGGACCAGTAGGCCAGCAGACCCCTACCTACCACGTGTTGTTCAGACTCTTTGGACGCTTTCTACTGCTTAATTTTCTGAAGCTTCCAATGTCTTAAACGTGTCTGGGGAACACCCGTGTCCCGACAGCACCACACCGATTAGCACATTTGTCAAACCTATGCCCCATTGGCTTTTTTCCCCATTTTGTGTAGTGTGTTCAGCCTGTAAAGCGTGCATTGACTATCTCCAGCCCACTAAAAACAGAACGGGGTTGGCAATGCCACTGCAATTATTCCCCCTCTGCCCCCAGTATCAACTACTTTGAACATCTGGTGAGATATGGAAAATGCTGCAAAAGATGCAGCGTGAGCAGTATCCCGAATACTGGGAAACTGGGTATTTTTGGAGAGGTGTCTTCTCGTTATCTTGCATTGAAAGTTTCATTTTGCTTAGCAAGATTAAACAATCGGGAGGAAAAAAAAAGGCAGAAGGAAATCTGAATGATAGAAGACTTGGATTCCAGCTTCTGTTCAAATGAATATTGGAAACACATCCAGCAAAGTACAACAGTTTCATCTGCCCCGCTCAAGTGCTTGGCAGCCCGGCGGCAGAGTGCTCTCTGCAGTAGGTAAGAGGCAAAGCCTTGACTGCAAAGAGAGTCTGGCTGAAAAACATGACGAGGGAGCCTGGCATCTCTTTGTGGTGCTGGAGGGGAGGTCTGTCTTACCAACTGCTGTAGGTGATGTCCGGCGCAGCTCACGGCTTTTGGGAGGCCAGAGTAGGAGTCAGGAACCTGAGGATTACAGGATGAATTTCACCGGGGAGCGATGCATTTAAAATTTGCGTGTTTGCAGTGCTGTGCCTGGTCCGCTGCGAATCCAGCCAAAGGCATAGAATTACCCTCTCTGCTACCTCGGGCATGCCCCCATGACAACATGGCAGGGCCTTGTCAATACCACGACTGCCGTATGTGGAAACGTGCATTAAGAGAGCAAGGAATGCACATTTCAGGTACTATTAATAGTGTTACAAATAATCTATATAGATCTGACTATTGCTTTAGTGAAGGTTTACCTCTTATTTCCATATCTTCTCCTTTAACATGCCTAATGTTAGACATACTAGGCAGCACTCTAGACAGCATTATTAATAAATATTCAGTATTTATGTTACGGATTCTGAAACTCTAGTGAAGTGACTATTGTATCACTGCTTCATACTCAGAAAGAAAACCCTTCTAGGCTTCACTAGGTTTGGGTCTAAGCTTTTTTTTATATATTAAGGATTTTGGTTTTACTGTAACATATAAATGCTCTTCTTCCCCCCAGCTGTAAGTTGAGAGAAAGCAGACGTTTTTCCAGTGCAGGTAGATTACAGATGAAGCAGGTTTTCGATGCCCTTGCCTCACGGATATGGAAGCTGGAGCTCTCAGTCCCTCACTTCACCTTTCCTCTGGG